ACAAAAAATATAATATTTTACCCTCACTTATTATTATCTAAAAATAATATGTACCATAATATAACATGATATATAACAATATATTGGGATATATTTTAATTTGTAATAATATAAAAATATTAACTAATACCTAATAATATATAATAATATGTTTTAAATTGAAAATTTTTTCATCAAATCTCTTATTTTAGAAAATATTATAAAATAAAATAAATCATTAAATTCATAACTAACAAATCATTTTATATTTACTTAAAATATCTAACTATATTTGTATATTATTTATTATTAAAATTAATTGAATTTCACGATAAGATACTTAGAGTTTATATAAACATTGAACCATATCAAACTACTAATGTTTTCACATTCTAATGTTCAAAATCATCGTAGACACTTTTAATTTTCTTAGTTTAAAAATTTGTTTAGTTAGTTTGATTCATTACATTATTGATTGTATTCAATTTTTGGTATTTTATCATACAAATTAATTTGAGAGTTCAAATTGAAAATAAAAAAAATGAAAAAAACATAAAACAAGAATATGGAAGATTATTTTGTAGATTCAGAAACCAAATCATCATTATTATATTGATATTCTAAATTTTTTTGGTAAAAAATTAAATAATTAATCGGTTCAATTAGTAAAAAAATTAAATGAAAACATTAATTGATAATACATATATATATATATATATATATATATATATATATATATATATATATATATAATCAGAATATAATCGATTTTTACTTTGATTTTTAAAATTAAAAATGCAAATATAATCACAAAAGAGTAAATCTAAAATTAGAAAGAAGAAAAACAAAGAGTGTTAAACGATTTTAGTAAAACTCAATTCATATTATCTTTTACAAAAGTTTACAAGTTAAAACAAAAATATCATACGGATTCTTTTACAAAAATTAAATAAATTTGATTATAAAAAAAAGTAAAATTCAATACAACTAAAAAATACTATATAAAAAAAGATTATAACAAAAAACAGTAAGGAAACTTGAATACTTGAAAATACAAAATTGAAATAAATATATATTGTGAATGTAAGTACAATTAATTAATTAACTTAGAAACTAAAACTATGAAAAAACAAATTTAAAGATCAAAGTTACAAATTTTATAAATTGTAGGAACGAAATTGAAATTACACCTAATTGATTTTGTGAAAGAAGGTGGAAATTAAAATGGTAAACGAATAAAAAATAAAGCAATGTTAAAAATGTTTTTGTTGAAGATAATAAATAAGTATCAATAAAACGTGTTAATTTTTTACCGTTTTATCTAACAAAGCTATTTTAGGTCACCTTACTCATTTTCACTTTCAATTGATCTTCTCTAACCAAATAAATAAACGCTATTGCAGTTGTTAAAAATAATCCTTATGTGAGGAGGTCAATAGAAGAATAACTGTGTTGCCAGCATAACTAATTTGTTAGATGGTTCAAATAGTTTTATTTATATGTTTTAATTTATAATATTGATACTAAATTTTAAATCTAAAACTTTACCAAATTACTTGAAATAGCCTTTTATTGATACAATGGGTGACTTGTGTATTTGAAATAGAATACAATTTCCATACAATAACAATAAATATTTGTTTATGATGAAATTACAAAGTATTACATATATGTCAAATAAATATATTTTCTTCTTCTATATTATATATATTATAGATGTATGATAATTTGGGTGGAATTTTTTTTTTATTAATTTAGTACGATATGAATATTAATTATCCAATTTTTTAAAATTTGTATGATAATTAATAAAAATGAATATGTATATATTTGTTCTTTATCATTCACTTTGATTTTTGTGCCAGTTTAAATATTGTTTATAAAAAAAATATTGTATTTTAACATAAAGTATGAATTTGTTGAATTAAATTATTTCTAACAAAAATATTTAGTTATTTCCCTTAGTTTTTATTTATAATCGTGCAAAACTTTAATTTATTAGAAAATTTGAAAAAAATATGCTGTCTTCTCTCTTTGATTTCTAGTTTTATTTTATTTCAAGTTTTTTTCTCTCACCACATAATTTTTTATTCTCTCTTTAAATATATATAATTCAACTTGATTGATATTGACCAAATTTACTAAATCTAAAATATATTTGTTCAACATTGTGCCAAAAGTGGCAAAGTTAATTTTGGGTCTATAAGTTGAGAATGAGAAGCTTTTAGAGTGTAATGTTGTTAGTAAATACTTTAAATTGGTGTTAGAATGGTTTAGACACACTTAGTCAAGCATAATTAAGTATATAACACAATTAATTATGAGAGTTAGAAATTGAGAAAAATATTTACAATTGGTCATTTTGGGTGCATATTCAAAATTATGCAGTTTGGTACAGCAAAATTATGTACACTCGCTGAGCGAGTGATGGAGGCGTTGGACACATTGTCTGGACATTCGCTTAGCTAGTCGTGTCGCTGAGCGAGTGCTTAGAGGGTCTATATCATTGTCTAGAGGATTCATACAACGAACTAAGTCGATAAGCGAGGGGTTTGTGTTTGAAAGCACTGAGAATTTTATTCGCACAACGAGTAAGGTCTTTGAGCGAGAGGTTTGGGTCTGGGAGCACTGTGAGTTTTATTCGCTGAACGAGTTGGGTCGTCGAGCGAATGGGTTGGAGTCTGGAGGTACTGTTGGTGGGATTCACACAGTGACCCAACTTGCTGTGCTAGAGGAATTTGTGGTTGCTCAGTGAGGGTACGCACTAAGCGGCTGGTCAAGGTTGTGATGTATTTTTTTCTTCTTTGTTTTGAATTGTTTGAGATATGCATTAATTCAATTGTGGACGACGTATGATTATGTATGAATTTATATGTGTACCAAAGTAAAAGTATATGGTTTCAATTATGGTTTTAAATGGTGTGGAAGAGATTCCAAGGAGGAATTTCTTAGTGGTGGTTCAAAAAGTTGCAAGTATGAATATGGGAAGCTCAGTCTTGGAGTTCATCCTGACATTCCAATGGTCACCTATTCTCAAGTAGAGAGGCGTGAGACATGTCGTGAGAATAGCATGAGGTCCTAGCCTAAGGGCATTACCTTGGTCTAAGGTGAGTGATAACGGACTAACCTTGTGTGGTAGCTTGGGGTGGTCCAACTATTTCACTACAAGTGCACAAACTGTCATAACTACATATTCATAATAATCTGATGGTCATGTCTAGGAGTGGTCATGTATATAAAGTTTATTTTGATTTGATATGTTCTGTGTAAACTTTTATAGAAATGTTTAATATGTAATTGTATACCATTATTTGTTTTCTTCTAGCTTACCCTTCTATCTGTTTGTGTTGTATGTTTGTTTTGTTTTCTCTCTTTGTTATGATCATCCTGTGGTTGTGAACAGAGAGAGATGAACTGATAGTGAAGCAGACTCTTGGAGATGAAAACGTTGCAATTTAGTTAGCTTTAGCTTAGTATCTATACATAGTTTTGGTTATCCAGTGTATATATAAGGTTAAAAATTTATAGTTTTTTTTGGATAACTATAAATTTTACTTTATAATTTAGTATATAACTGTTTTGTAGTATCATATTGTGATGACTATTATATAGATAAATACTATATTTTGAGATATTACAAAAGGACTACAAGAAGATTTCAAAAATTGAATAACTAAATTAAGAAAAAAAACTGCAAATTCTAAAAAAAATAAAATTCAACCATTTCCAAAACCGTGCAGTAATAGAACACTAAAAAAACAAAATGAAATAAAGATTACACATTACTCTTACACAAAAAAAAATACATAAAATATAAAATCACTCTCATTTTTTGGACATTCACAATAATAACTAAACAATCATACAATAATTTTCAAAGAATAAAAATTTCAGCTTGTATCATGATATCTAATCCAAACAAATTTCTCCAATCCACATAAAGTTTTTAACATTTTTGTAAGAAAAACACGTTAGTATCATATAAAATTCAACTAAACACATCATCATCCACGTTAATTATAAAAGAAAAAAAATCACGTAAATATGTAACAAAAGAAAAAAAAAATATCATATAACCTGTCTAAGTCAAATTAACGACAAAATATAATCTAGAGTTCAAAACGTATTTTAAAAAATATCATATAATTCTTACTATCATTAAAAAAAGTAACATCATTCACTTTAACATGGAAAAATCAATTTCTTCCTAAATTGTTGTACCCAGATACCGATGTAAAATTTAGTTTCTTACATATATCCTACTGTCTTCACTAATTTGATCTTCATATTATTTAAAAAATTGAAAAAATTATATGTTTTTATTAACCGATACAGTGGTTGTTGATGTCGTGACCGCAAACTAGATGACAACCATTAACAAACCAATCAAGACTTTGTTATATATGTAATTGAAATATAGACTATACATTATATGATAATGTAAAATTTGTATTGCAGTGAGAGTCCAGGAGTTAAAAAGAATTAATCTTGGTTTTGCAACATTACATCTAACATATGTTGTCATTTGATAGAACCAAATATATATGGTTTTCACAAAAATATCTGTGGGAGATGTTGGAAATGGTAGGTTTCTCCTTGGAAGTCAATCTCTCAATATGAACGGTTTTTAAACCCTTTTCCATGCTGGTGCAGTGCTCCTAGTTGGTTTATATTGGTATACTTTATAATTGTTGAAGTTAAAGAATTAAATGTACATGAATAAAAATTCATGAATCTACAATTATGAAATGAATGTTTTCTGTTTAAATAATTTTGCGACGTTCAATTGATTTTTATTTTTAGTGTTCAATATTTTAGTGTAAATGTTTATTTATTTATATATTTACACTTTTAATCATCATAAAAAGAATATTATTCACAATGATCCAAAATCGACTTGATATTCCGAACAAAATATATTTACACTTTGTCAAAGGTGGCGGAAGTAATCGTATCATGTGTCTGCTTAATTCACAAACTAATTAAATGAATTAAAAAGAATGAACGAATGTGATGGATTTTGTTTGTAATCACAGAACCAGCAACACTTCCAAGAACTTCACCTAACGCTGATCCAGCCATCCGATTCTGACCAATTCTCCGATGTCTTGTCGGTGACAAGCTGCCGGAGACGACTCTCCGGAGAATTCGACCACCCAGAGTGCTCATCGAAATCCAGGGACGACGGGAGCGAAGCCATTACGGTGGAAGCCCAGTCAGGAAAATCGAAGTGGGTCCTCGGCGACGGCGACGGTAACGGTTGATGAACTTTCTCGTACGAAAGTGAGTCAACTTTGATGAAAGGGTGCTTCAGATGCATCTCAGCGCTCCACCTGTTCTTGGAATCCTTAACAAAGCATTTCTCCAAAAAGTCCTTCCCCTCTTCCGACAATTCTTCTGGAATCTTTGGCAATTCTTCTCCGACTCCAATCCGAATCATCAATGACCAAATACTGGAACCGTTGCTAACATCCCACGCGGGTTTTCCGGTCACCATCTCCACGACGGCGCATCCCAGGGCCCAAATATCCGCCGGCGGCTCATATTCATTGTCGTTCACCGATTCCGGCGACATAAACAACGGCGTTCCCCTGAACTCGCACTTCCCTTGTTTCTCCCCCTTCTCCTTGGCGAGCCCGAAGTCCGCGATTTTCACCTCGCCGTCGAAAACGAGAACGTTCTGAAGCTTCACGTCGCAGTGAACGAAACCTTGCTCGTGAATATGTTTGAGCCCTTCCACGATAGACCTCGTGCATCGCCGGACGAAAGGCTCCGGGAGGCTTCCACCGTGTTTCTTGACCTGGTCGGCGAGGGACCCTTCGGTGGCGCGTTCGAGGAATACGTTGTAGAACTCCTCGCCGTTCTCGACGGTGTGATCGTGGCCGAAACACTTGATGATGTAAGGGGAAGAGCCAAGGCGATCGAATATCTCCTTTTCGTGTTGGAGCGAACCCGCGTTGTCGGAATCAGAGGATTTGACGGCGACGGGAGAAGGGAACCGAGTGGAGCCGTTTGCAGGGACGACGATGTTGACGGTGGCGAAGGTTCCACTGCCGAGTGATTCTCCGCGAACCCAGTTCATGTTGGTAGAACAGTGTACGATGAATTGAGTTTTGAAGCACGAAGACAACAAATGACTTGCGTTCCCTTATAAAGAACGAGAACTCGTCGTTGAAGATTCAAGACTCAAAGCATGGGAGGGAGTGAGATTGGCGGCATCAAAACATTTGAAACACGTGATAATTGAGGATATTTTCTGAGCGTTTTCCTAATTTTACCGCTTCAGCCTTCACCTGCTTTCTTTTTATAAGCCAAAATTTAGATATTGATTATCATTATCATATCTATTATAAATTATAATATATCACAATAGATTATAGATTATCATTTGACTGCACTTTGAAAGTCAAAATATATCTTTTTTTTTAATTCGATTTATCCCAAATAAAATCCGTAACATATATTCAAACACCTATTGTTGAAAGGACCTAAATCTTTTTTGAATAATAGAAGTATCTTACCCATCTATAAAATCGTTGTCTCTCTTCTTATCAAGATATATACTCTCATATAATTATTTTTATCTTCTTGAATTATCTCATCTCTAATAATATGATATTAATAAAAACCTTTTGAAAATGACATTTCTTTAATTTAACTATATAGTGTACTAATTCTTTTTGCATTTTTTTTAAAGAATAACACGCAGGATACATAATTCGATAAAGTTAGAGAAATATTATTCAAGATATACAGATTTTTATATGATTACTTTCTATTGATCTTTTGTTAAAATCTATTAGATTTTATTTTATCGAATCATAGAATATATTTCCGTAGTTTGGATTTTGTGATAATATTAACTGATATCACAGAATAAATATTAAGGATTCATTTCGTTAATAACTGTGTTACTTATGGGGCTGTCCTTACATGTAATTCCATCAGGAAGAGCTAACAAATTCATACTTCGATGTTGTCTGATTTAACTTCTCATATAATAAATGTTAGATTTGAAGAAAATAAATATGGAAAACTTCATGAATAAAAATAATACCAACCGTTTTTATGATTTTTTTTATCTCCTTTAAAATAACCAATTCTCTCTCTCTCTCTCTCTCTCTAATCTCTCTTAATAAGTTGCGATATATTATTCACAGTTCATTAACTCATACCACAACTTGACAACTGTTTTTGTAATGTATGTATTAAATAATATTCATTATAGTTATTGTATTATAATTATAGTTTAATGTTTTTCGATTTATTTAAAAACAGATTTAACGAGAATCTGTAAAAGTGAATGGTTTGTTGTGATTTTTTGTCACCTTGTAGTGATTTAACGGATTGAGAAGTGAAAATTTTATAAAATATCTTTAATGATTTTTCTTTTACTAAATGGTGGTTTAGGATGTAAGTGTTCGCTATAAGAAAACAAAAAATTTCCCTTTTAATAAAAATATAAGATTTTTTATGAAATAAGTATGTGTTTGTTGTGATAATTATTTAAAAACTAAAATTAAAAATGTCCCATGAAAATGGTATTTTCTTACGTCTTACACGTATATTTGTTGAAATTAGGAAAACTTTTAAATATGAAATAACGTTAAAAATTGAATTTTTATCTTAGATCATACGTAACACATTTCTTTTATAAAAAAAAATATTGCTTAATTTTTATCTAATGATTCAAAATATAAACGTTTAATCTAAAGAATGATCAATAAACTAGTTTATAACTTATCATAGTGACAACTATCATATTAATCGAGATATAATTGTTTTATTGGATCTCACTCTATTTTCATGTTACTTTTTCATCACCGTGATAAAGCAAAATGGCCCAGTTTTAATTATTCTCTATGTTTAGAAAAACTTTAAATAAAATGATATTTGGAGAAAGAACATTTTGAATGAAATAAACAATAGATATTTGAACTTTATATAGGATCAAACAAATCACTATTATTATTTCTTTATGCACATGTTAAAAAGCAGTTTGTGGCATGTTATGAACGGCGAAAAGGGCAACGAATTTCCGCAGAAAGACTTGCACACATGTTGTTACAACAACAGTGAAAAAGGTTATGATGTTTTAAAAAATGTTGTCATGGCTTACGACTGACTAATTGAAGGGTTGGTGTTTTCGTAGATGACAATTTTTTTGCATATGGGTTGATTAGTCGAGTTCAAATAGAAGCGAAGGAGGAAGGTAGGAAAATTCTGGGTTTAATGTGAGAAAGGTCGTTGTTGAATTCAATGTTCACACTTGATAGAGAAAATGTCAACACTGTTCAAACGGGCTTTCAATATTTGCAGTAAGAGAAAAAGTATAGCGGGCAGATGCATAGAACTGTAGTTGTTTTTGGATCCCACACAACAGCGCAACCTCTTTTAATATTCAATTTTCAGTTTGACTTGAATAGACCAAATATCATTACTATTTTTTTTTTTCAAAAGCGTCATGCAAGGTTCATTACTCATTATTCTTGAATTTTTCAAATACTTTTCCTCACAAAAACTTAACGAACTTAAAAATATAATTTCAAAATATAATAAATAATATTTATTAGAGGTTATGACCATCGGGTTATTTAAGAACCATACGGCTCAATCAGTCTACAACCCAATAAGCTACACTATTATTAATTGGACCGTAATTAACTTAATATTAATATAAAACTTATATCAAAATCCATAAATACACGTTTCTAGTATTGTGATAAGTTGGTTGTATTCATTGCACATTAACTATTAACTGTTAAGTTTAGTATTGTAATACATTTTGCAAATAACTCTCAGTTTGATAAAATGATATAAAATAAGTAAGAAAAAAGTTTTGACTTGAAGTTGGAATATTTTATTAAGGAGAAGATTTGACATGGATCTTACTGAAACAAAAATTAAATGAAGAAGTTTTTTAATGTTTGGTGAATAGATTAACCTAAGAACATAACCTAATTATGTTTAAAAAAGAGAAAATGAAAACGCGTTATTGTAATTTTTTTTATGTTTTAAGGTTGGGTAGTGATAAAACTATGAAAATAATAAGGACTCTGTTTTTAAACAATGCAGTGGCTATTTTTTATAATTTCTTTAAAAAGGTCAATTCGTGTTCTCCTGTTTTAAAAAAAAAAATACTTGATTTTCTATTTTGTTGTAATTTTTTGCTATAACGATTTGCTTAAGTTTTCAGTTTTTTATTATTTTAAAAAATATAAAAAGTGTATAAAAGATAATTAATTTTAAAATAGAAATTTGTAATGACAAAACTTAAATAATTGCCCATGAAATATAGCTCGTAAAATATATTATATATGCGCGTGTGAGGATGAGAAAATTTGAAAAGTAATGCCAGTTTTCTGAACTTTTATTTTTGTAATATATATTTTACCGCACATAGATTTTTGAATTAAAAACAAAATAATCTTTTTTGTTAACATTTAAGTATAAAAAGTGATGATGTCACTAAAACATAACAAAGAAAGAGAAGAATATAAGGAAAATGGGGGGTGAACTTATCAAGTAGGGAGTGTAAATTGCCAAAACAATTGAATGGGTTATTATATTTTTAAAATGTTATATGACTTGACAATG